TTATGCTCGTCCTTAAAATTTTTTCAATGACTTCTTCTATTCTTAGGATATAGTCCAAACTTTATTCCACAAGCCCACCTAACCAGCACCATTCCTTCCTCCTGCTGCAACTTAGAGCTCACTGTGACACCACTTTTCACCCTTCACATGGTCCTGCCATACTTTCTTTCCTAGTGCTCCAACAGGCCCAAAATTTGTCTGGCCTAAGGCGTTGGTACTGTTTTTTTCTGCTTGGAATGCTATTTTCTCAGATCTTCAGATAGGTGACTCTTGTCATTCAGGCTGCAGCTCAAATGTCCTTTTCAGAAGAGGTTTTTCCCTCACCACTCTATCTCATTTTGCCACCTAGTCACTATTACATAGTCCTCTTTTATTTTCAGATTTTCTTTTACTTTCACAACCGAAATAATCTTTGTTTACTTGTTTCTGCCTATCTTTTCCCTCTGGAATGTTGAATCCATGGAAACAGGGAGCTTGTCTTTACTGCTTTGGCGCATAGTAAGCTCTCAATATTTGGAGGGAAAAAAACCAGACTTTTTTATAACTATCATCTTAGGTCATACATAAATTGATCAAACTGGGTGAACTCTTTCAAGGCTGCCTCAGAACTAACACATTAAAATGGAAATAATTTAATCCCTTCATTCAAAAGCTGCTCAACAGCTTCTTTTAACACAAAAAATATTTTACTTTGACAATCTTTTGTTGAGTTTTATCTTCCTATCCTCTATCAGTTCTCAGTCATGGTAAGAATGGACCTATAGACTAAAGAGAGCCCTAATTCCTCTCAGCAGCCCTCAGAGGAGATTAGTTTCTTCAGCAGGTTAGTCTCCTTCCTTCTCAATGACCTTGAAGCTGTCCCCATGGAGCCACTTTAAATTTGTCAGTTTTAAGGTAAGGAGTCTGTTGGGTATGGTATCTCTTCTCTAAAGGCAACCATTTCTTGGGGCGCGAGGACGGGTCAGAATCCCAATATGTTTTAGTATACATATTCTGTAAATGGGCTTTTTAAAGCAAATAATAAAAGTAAGCTCTCAAAAGTGAAATGTTATTATCACATGTGTTTATTACCCCATGATGGGGAAAAGTATTTCAAGAAAAATAAGGCTCAGGGTTGCTGGAGATAATACCTTCAAGACATTTCCTACCTTCTTAGGTAGTAATATGAAATGTCCAAATAACTTTTAATCTATTTTAAGATGTATTTTTAAATTGCCTTATCAGCTGTTGGGTCTTAGTAGACTGATGTTGAAAAAACAATACAAAGGTAAGACTCTCCGTCACTGCAGGTGCCAAATCAGCAAAACAAATCTAAGAATTATTAATAGACCTTCTACTACTAAGAGGGGATATAGCAGGCAGTCATAAAATTGGTCAATCTAGATACATGTAGTTAGAGTTGTAACAAGAAAATCACCCTTATACAAAATCTCTCTAGCCTGCATCTTTTAAAAAAGTACTGCCCCCCAAATAGTATTTCATCCAAAAAAGGTTTATGCAAAATATTTATATAGTCCAGGAAAGCATAAACCAGATGATGACAATGTACCTATGCCTACTGTTTAAGAATAAGTATTTTTAGTGACTGAGTCTATTAGCTATTATTATCATAAATCTTATTGTCCATGAAGTCTCATTTTTCCTAAGGAGTCTGAAATACAGCATTTTAATAGGCAGTACTCAACTTGACAGGTTAAATCCTAAAAATGCATATTTAAATTTGTTGTTTTGAACTTCTAAGTACAATTTCCTGTAGAACAATTATAGAAGAAACTCAGCCGATTTAACCTCTAATACAGTTGAATGAGTACTTATTTTATTTCTGCTCTTACTGTTGATCAAGAAGGTAGGTATCCTAGCCCCCTGTGGAGAAGTGAGCTCTGAAGGTAGAGGACTGTATTTTACCCTCTGCGAGGCATTTTTGTACCTCTTTGATACTCATCAGTTGTTCCCAACACCTAAGATATTGGTAAGGTGGCTATAGTCACTCTTGAGAGTACGTGTGTATATGAAACCCAGGAATCAAGCAAAACAAAATGCCAATTATCCTCTCAGAATAGTACCCTTGAAAAGTTCCCACAATTCAAGGTTATGGTTTTAGTTCTTTTCTTTAAAGACATGAAAATAACTGAATACAACAAAATAACAGTCTGAATTGTATGAATTGTTTAAAGAAATTCAACACAAAGCCTGGAAACATAAAGCTTGTGACTTGGTAGGTTTCATATCCCCCATTTCTACCTACAAAATGGTAGAAATCATAAAGAAAAACCACTGTAAATTTAACTTGGAAATGTAAAGAACAATGTCAAATGTTGATGTGGTGTACCACTATTTTGCCTATATAACCTATCCATCCAGTTATTAAAACACTTAAAAGGAACCAGGCACTTTGCAAGACTTGTTCTTACTTGGACAAAAGACACGCATTTTTAGATGGCTGCTCAGAACTGCTATCTGATCTCAAGAAAAATCTAATTGATACTTGCTGATTCAAACCACACCCCACACCCCCACATTGGTCTCATCAGTAGTAAGTCCTCCCTGACTGAATCTTTCTAACTTCTAGGTCAGTTGGGCCTCGAGCCATACATTCAACTCTGACAAAGAGTCTCCAACCTGATCAAGACCAACTTACAGCCTTGAACAGCCTCTTTTGCCACATAAAATCAAAGTAATAAAATGAAATGGCTTGGTGTGAAAAGCTGGGGAAATACACAGCCCACTGGAATGATGGAGCCATGCTCCAGATACAACTTGGAGCTATATGCTTATCTCCCACCCTTGTGATTCAAACACAGAATTAAGAATATCTATCTCACCTAGCATTAAACCAGGACCTTCACTCCACCCTGTTCAACATAATGTATTTATTCCAAAAGGAAGAACACTGCTCTTAGAGAAAAACAATGCTCTATGACAATGTGCACATCACTTGTTTCAGTTTCCTTTCTATAAAATAGGGATAATAATAGTTGTCCCGACTGACTCACAGGGTCATTGAAAGGATCAAATAAGATAGTGAATGTGAAAGTACTTGCAAACTGCTAAACTATTATTGCTAAGTTGCTCCATTTTTGAACTTCTGAGCTTTCCTCTACCTCATAGTTTAATTGCAAGGTTGGTTAGAATATCCAGATACAGAAAATCTACATTAATAGGATTTTGGAGAGGGCGGTAGATAAATAATGGAAAATACTGATTAGGACAATGGGCCAGAACATAGGAAGTTAGCCCCAGAATTACAGTAAAGTCTTGATGCAAAACCACTACCGTTAGGGCTTGCTCTTTGCAGACACCGGCCAGTTCCCCCAACACACACAAACACCAAGCTGTACTGTGCTACTTTTAGGTGAATCACTGGGGATAAGCTGAGTCTGGAGGTAAAACGGGGAGGGACTTCCAGTCCTGATGATCAGGCTGTTCCCCAATCCCTTTAACAAACACTCCTCCTACTCTTTGTGCCTGGCCTAGTTAATCAAAACTATTCCCGGTAAGAAAATGGCTGTCAAAGATTTTTTGCAAGGAGAGTCTTTTAACTATGAGAAACCAGTAGCATACCTACTCCTTCCTCCACCACGAACTATTCTGAATGGATAGATTCAGAAACAAAAAAAAACGGATTATGGTTTGTTTCTCCCAAGACTCACTCTGGGCCTCACCCTCCAAGTTTCAGCTCTGCCATCTGTAAAATGAAGAATGACGGCGCCTGTCAACTCCATCCTACTGCTACCGAAAGGATGGATGAGACAGTGCCTGGAAGGCGCCAGGAGTGCTGTCTGATAAACACTAAGTCCTTCACTGTTTATAAAGTATTATGAGTCCCATTACGCCCTCCCACCTCAAAGGAATCGCCGGATTAGAACTGACACCCCCAGTCACTGAAAAGAGCAACGAGCAACGCTGAAGCGGGCGGGGCGTATCCGCACTGAATTTGTTTCGAGGTGTGAGGAAGGAGGCGACCCTGCGTCCCGGAGAGGAGGAATGGGGAGAGAAGGTTGAACGCAGGGGCCGCGAAGAGCCTACCTGTTGTTCCGGATGCTGACCAGCACGCACAGCACCAGCTCTAAGTAGGTGCGTAGCACTTCCAGCCAACGGGTTGAGAGCTGCAGGGCTTCGACTTCTTCCCCGCCAGTCCTGGTGTCGACGCGGCCTCCATCGCCCGGGCCGCCTCCGCCGCTCAGGTAATTCTCCGCGGCGAATTCAACGCGCAGCTCTCGCACAAACCAGCCGCACTTGCGCATGAGGAATTCGAGCCGTGGCTGCTCCGAGGGCGAGACGCGGAGGCAGATGCGGAGCTGGGGCCAGAGAGCCGGGTAGAAGAGGCACTCGCGCCAGTGCGAACAGGAGGCCGAGGCCCGTAGCCGGTCGGAAGCGGACAGGAAGGAGAAGATGTGCACGATTAGCTCGCTGGGCAGCGACGCGGCGCCTGCCGCTTGTCCGCACAGAGCCATTCGGCCCCGCCGCAGGCTGCCGGTCCTCGGCCGCCCCCGCAGTCCCCGGAGCAGCCCCCGCAGCCGTCGCAGCTGCTGCAGCCGCAGCCGCTGCCGCCGCCACCGCGCCACCCGGGCGGCCCCGGCTCGGGTTCGGGCTCCCGGTGGTCGGGGCTGCGGCACTGACAAGAACAACAACATCAATGACAAGGAAGAAGGGGGCGGAACCGTCGTGGGTCTCGGCGGAACCAAGTGCAGCACAAGTTGCGGAGAGGGGTAATGGCCTCTGCGGGGGTGGCCTCCAGATAGCCAGGCTCTGGCCTCTCAACCTCTACTCATGCGCATCCGAGGCCTGCACACTCAAGAACTTCAAAACCCTCGCTTGGACTGGTTAGGGGCCCGGAAACGGCACGATTTATTGTAAGAAAACGGCAGCCCTCCCCGCGCCTGGAGGCGGAGGCAGAGCAGTGGTAGGAGCTGAGTTTGACGTCACCGGTGGTGGGAGGAGCCCTGCGTGACTGGGCGCGACTTCCGGAAGAAGGGAGCGCCAGATTGACGGTAGGGGAGGGAGACGCAGCATGTGATCCCTGACGCAGGCAGGCAGACCGGCGGGGCGGGGCGGGAAGCGCTGGTGGTGTCGGCGATGGGCGCCCCCTCCCGTCTCACAGAGGCCGCCGAGTTCCGTCAAGTCTGTAAGTCGGTTAACTTGGTCGCTCAGGCGGTGGAGGTGGCGGAACTCGCGTTGGTGCAAGGGCTCGTGACGCTTCTCGTTATACGTTTCTCTGTTGCTGGGCTGAGGACTCAAGAGCCAGAGTGGTGGCTTGGGTCTTTCTCAGCCGTTCCACCTGCCCGGAGTATTGTTGGGAGTTTCTGAGAGAGAGCCGCTAAGGATGGGGGGCGGGCGCAGTCGCGGGCTTCCCCGGAGGGGCTGGGTCGCGTAGAGGAGAAGCGCGGGGAGGGGCGGCTGGAGGCCGGACGGAGGTCGCGAGTGGACACCCCCCATTCCTTGTTCGGACCTCGAAGTGGACTTGCACGTACACCTGGTGTGTGGGGAAGGAGTGAGGACAGCGCCACCCTTTGGATTTAGAGGGAGAGGAGAAAAAAAGGCGAATGAGTTAGGTTTGTTGGTTGATAATCGGCCTCTTCTCCGCGGTTTGAGGGAGGCTCCGAGTTCCCGATTTTGAGGCCCTAGGTGTAAAGAAGCTGATTGTTAGGGTAAAGGTTTTCTTTAGCTTGGCGCCCCTAATTTGAGAGAGGGACTTTCGAAAGAGTGTATCTTAACTAAACCGCAACTTGGGAAGTAGTTAACTGATTGTAAGGGTCAGGGAAGTCAGAAAAGGAGTAAGTGATTTTATGTAATAATTGAGGATTGCTTCAGTGAGGCTGCCGCTTCAAAGCCTTAACTATGATCTTGGAACAGCCTAGTTTTCTAGTGATTAACTCCAATAAGCTGTTCTACTAGATATTTTTAGCTCTTTGAAGGCAAAACTCTCCATTCATGTTGCTTTGATGACTTTTGGTGTCTTGCACATACCACGTTGCCAGTGATGTGTTATCTTCATTTTGGTACCAGTAGAAAAAAGAAGAAGAAAGCTAGCCTTCATGGTAGCTCACTTCTCTGAACCTCTTGTCTGCAAGAGATTCTTCTATGTAATTATTATTATATTTTTATGAATGAGCACTAATAGAAACAGCAGTGAATTAGGAAGTTGAGACTTGGATTTAAATTTTTTATATTTTAAACTCATGAAATATTTTGAAGTGAACCATGGACATCTGGATCTCCCACTTATAAGTACTTCAGTATGCATCTCTAAAAGCATATTACTATATAACAAAAATAATATTATTACACTTAAATAACTTCTGTTATCTAATAACCCATCTTCAAATTTATCTAGTTATCTCCCAAATGTTCTTTATAGCTGTTTTGTCCAAACCAGGATCCGATTAAGGACCACACTTGTTTTTGTTTGTATTTCAAGTTTCTTTTAATCTAGAATAGTCACCGCCCAACACACAGTTTTTTCTTTTTTTTGTCTCTCTGATTAGCTAAAGAGAGGAGGCTTATTGTCCTGTAGAATATCTCCCTTTCTGTAATTGTTTGACTACTTTCTCTTGGTGTTTAGCTTACTATTCTAGTACCTGAATTTCTAATAAACCGGGACATTAATGCTAAAGGCTTGATTAGGTTAATTTTGATCTTCCTCCATATAAAGTTCTGTGTTTTGTTAAACCTTAAAACAAAATCTATGAGATGTTATTTTTTACAAATGTCCAACTTCTCCATCAACCATTCACTTAATGGCCTTAACAATAATTGATAATTCTTGCCTGAATCTTAATTGTATTATGGGTTCCAAAATGATAATTTCTAATTCTTTCATTCCATCTACATTTATTAATTTGCATTCTTCTGTATAGGAGAAGCTTTCTTTCACAAACTGGCAACATTTAGTTACCCTGAAATACAGCTCCTATTGAAAAGGCAGAAAAAAATGCTTAATTCTTTTTATTTTATTACCAGTTTTTAAAGTAAGTTATATGGCTTCAAAGAGTGACAAACGAGTTTTTCTAGCTTTTATTTTTTCTGAACATCACATTCTCATAACATTTTTGTTATGTTTTAATCAATCATTCTTTTCAGTTCTCAGATTTTGATACTTCTAGAACTCTTCACAAAGAAATCTATGTAATTATTATTATAATTTTTAAAAAATTCCTTGAGCATTTTTAGTAGAGGTAACACTGGACTGGGTGGGAATGTGAGGCTGGATTTTGGTCTTTTTTCTTTTTTACTTTTGTCGTGATCTAGCTGGGTGACATTAAAACAAGTTGCTTAACCCTTTGAGGCCTCACTTTCTTCATCTGTATAAGTAGAGAGTTTTGGCAGGGTTCCCTGCAACTCTGGTGTTCTCTGACTTTTTAAAAAAAAACCTATTTTACTGAGATATATAATTCATTCATTTCAAGTATACACCTTAACAATTTAGTAATTTTATCAAATGATACAACCAACACTGTAAATCGGTTTTGGAACATTTTCATCCCTTTAATAAGATTCCACATATCCATTTACAGCTAATCCTCACTTCTTCCTCCAGGCAGCCACTAATGCACTTTCCATCTCTATAAATTTGCCTTTTCTGAACATTTGATATAAATGGAATCATACAATATATGATCTCTTGTGTCTGGCTTCTTTCACTTAGCATAATATTTTTGAGGTTCATCCATGATGTAGCATGTGTCATTAATTCATTCCTTTTTATTGCTGAATAGAATTTCATTTTATTTATTTATTTATTTTTGGTCTATTTACCAGTTGATTAACATTTATTATTATTTTTTTTTGGCTGTGCTTAGTTCCCTGATCAGGGATTGAACCGAGGCCCTGGCAATGAAAGTGCAAGTCCTAACCACTGGACCACCAGGGAATTCCCTGATTAACATTTAGGTTTCTAGTTTTTGGCTATTATGAATACCATTTCTGTAAATATTCATGTCTAAGTCTTTTGTGAACATATGTTTTCATTTCTCTTGGGTAGATACCTAGAAGTGAAAATGATAGGTTGCTTGACAGTTCTATGTGTAACTTTTGGAGAAACTTCCAAACTGTTTTCTAAAGTGATTGTATCATTTTCCAGTCCTAACAGCAATGTATGAGGGTTCCTAGTCTCTGACTCTTTGATGATTTGGAGATTTTCTCTGATTGATTTGAGACCGATATTTTTCCTTATTGTTAGTGTTTTACTAGCAACAAACTACCTTCTCCTTGGATACCATTAATAATTAATCTTTAAGTATTAGGAGTAGTTCCTAAAGGAAATAAAAATACAGATAGTCTCCAAAGTAGATGGTTCTACTTATGATTTTTCAACTTTACAGTGGTGCAAAACCAATATGCATTCAGTAGAAACCATACTTAGAATTTTGATCTTTTCCCGAGCTAGTGATACGTGGTAAGATACTCTCTCATGATGCTGGGGAGTGGCAGTGAGCTACAGCTCCCAGTTGTTCCCATGATATTGAGGGTAAACAACCAATAGACTAAAAAACTGTTCTGTTTTTCACTTCAGAACAGTATACAATAAATTAAATGAGCTATTCAACACTTTATTATAAAAGAGGCTTTGTGTTAGATGATTAGCCAACTGTAGACTAATGTGTTCTGAGCGTGTTTAAGGTAGGTTAGGCTAAGCTATGATGTTTGGTAGGTTAGGTGTATTAAATGCATTTTTGACATTTTCAATTTATGATGGATTTACTGGAACATAACCTCATTATAAGTCAGGAAGGACCTCTATATCAATCTGCTATAAAATAAAATTAAGCTTCTTAGTGTTGTTTTTGAATTTTTAAAACTTCATTTAATTTTCATATTAAATGAAGGATGGTAGGAATACTGCTATTAATAACAATGAGCTAAGACATGAATTAATAAGTTATGATCTTGCTCAGTTACAGTTAAAACACAGTACATTTCAATGATGGCATACAATTTATTTTATTAAGCCAACATCTTTAATATTATTCCATTAAGTACTTATTGAGTATGTATATTCTTAGCATGTTAAGTGAGTTAGGTTATTTCTCTTGACGTTTATTATACTATGTAAATTATAAATTATTTTTGGTAAACTTTTTGATAAAGTAACAAAATTGACTTCTTTAAAGGACAGAATGAAATCACATTTTGTGAAGTTATAATGTCTGAGCTATGATTCAAAGTGTGGGAGGAAGTACTGACGTTATGAAGCCCATAAGTACTCAGTAGTACTAAGCTTCTGGTTCCAAAAGTGGCATATTGTCACTATAGCAACTACCCATGCTTATTTGGATTTGAAACCCAGGCAACGAATGGTGGATAGGAGTATAACATCAAGACGGATATGTACCCTGGTGGGTTGATATGCGTGCCTGTTGATGGTCAAGTGTTCGTTCCGTTTTTCTTGTTATGTTTATTATGATTGATTCTTTTATAGAGATACCTTAATTCCTGTTAATGTATTTTTCTGGAGAGAAATTAAACATTCAATATTCTTATTTTCTTCCTTTTCTAACATACTAAGCTTAGTGCTTTTTCCAGTTTGGTTATTAGGATATTAAATATATTTTTACTGTAGCTTTCTCTCCATTGCCAAACAATAGTTATAAAAATATAACTTTTATTATGCTGAATCACTTGACATTTCATAACAGAAAAAAACCTGTGATACAGATTTTATTTTAGCTACATCATGAAAAGATGTTCAAGGCTACCAATAGACATGCAAACTGACTAAATTCAAACATTTTTTGAAAGAATGGTTTTTTTTTTCTGAGCAGGGTGTGAGTTTCAGACACTTTCGGCAGGTAGAGATGATGTCCTTCCAATTATCTATTATCTGCACCCATAAAGTTACTTAGAGGCACAGGAGCCTCCTAGGAGAATAGAACTGGGAACTTGATTCTTTCTCTCCACCCTTGTCTGACAGATTGGAATGGTTCCTAGTGAGGTCATATTACAGGAAAAAGAAATGAAGGATTGAAAGGCATTTGTCTTTAGGGTAGGGAAAGTCTGCACTGGTGAGCTGGATGCAGGACAAAGGACCAAGTCTGTTGTTTTTTTTTTCCTAGTTGCACCATGTTGTTGATGTCAGAACTGATCTTAAGCAAGCCACTCACAAGTTGGTCGTGCAAATTTGTGAAC